CAATAAATACTATTGTCCTATCCTGCAGAAGTGTTGTTGGTTTAAGATCACTGCAACCACGTGCCCAACTTTTTTGTCTAAAGTGCTATAATTATACAAAAATATGCTAAATGAATCAGGTGGTCAGAATCCCCATTTTGCTTACCTAGTACAAAAAGCCGTGTTCCTTGTCCAAAGTACAGCCTATCCGTGGCACACAGTATGCCTCTCCAGTAGGTGAACCTGATCCAGGAAAGGCTTAGGGTTGTTCTTCTCTAGAAGCTGTTTTAGAGCCTTACTGTGAGCTTCAAAATCTGCTTATCCACCCAGTCTTTCTGCCACATCCCAGAGCCATAAAGGAACCACTGCTACTGCTTATTACTGGTAGTATTACCACTATTGTGATTGTTATGTCCAGCAACCTTGTTAGTGTGTATAGCAATGTGTGTGTAGCAGAAACATCATCCTACAGTACCATTGAATGCATAAGATGGCATAGACTGCAGCACACTTCATCAGATGCAAGCCCTATAGTCTCAAAGCTGATGGGTTGTGCCGTATGTTGACTGTTCTGTTTGTTGCTATTTCTTATCATCAATATTATAGTACAGTATTTGTTGCTTTGCAATATTCAATGACCCACAGATTACAGATTACGGGAAACTTGTTCTGTTTATTCTTCACTCTCTTCTGCGGTCTACTATACATGAGCAGTGGAAGATCCCATGTTTGCGTCATCTTAGAGCCACAAAGAAACCCCACAGCATTGACTATGGCAAAAACATATACAGGCTGAATACACAGGGTTAGCATAGTAATTCACAGCTAGAGTAGACCCATTGAATGAGTGGAGATTTGAGGACTCAGCTCCTCCCTAAATTCCATTGATTCCATAGTACACTCTAGATGTAACATAGATGAAGCAGCATGATTTCAGCCTCAGTCTTTTATAATAAACCTACAAATTCTCCGGGAGCCCCTCTTTTCCTTGGGATTTTCCTCCCTGATTTCATACTTCCAAGAACATGTAGAGAAAAGAGTTTGGATTTGTCTTAAGCCACCTACAGTCAGCTCGTATCCACCTTGTAATTCACCCTGCATTGCTACAGGATAGACTAGCTAGGATGTCAGGAGGAGAGTTTACTGATCTGGATCTCATCTTTCTTTTAGGGAGCTGTAGGGTGCCGGTATTAGAGTTTTCCCACTTTTTCCTCACCACAAACTAAAGAAGGTAGGCTAAGATAAAGTACGTGGCCATCAGGGTGTTTCACAGCTTAGCAGAGAACTCAAATTCAGGTTTTTCTCTCCTGTCCCAGTCCAGCACTCTATCCACCATCTTACACTGCCTTTCCAATCTCATACAACAGGTGCCTACTACGATCCTAGATTCCATGACCCATAAACAAGCAAACAGCAGCATATGAGTGACCATTGTTTTCCCGCCAGCCCGCATTGCCAACTTCTTCTGCTTACCTAGAACGAACAATCGAGTTCCTTGGCCAAAGCTCAACGGAGCGTTGTAGCACAGCCTGAAACCGTGTTACTAAAGGGACTGCCTGTCCTTCAAGACCTCCAGGGTAGGGGGAGCTCTCTTGTAGAGAACGCCAGTCGTAGGTGCTATTTCTCTTCACATTTCTGGCTGGCTGCCAGCTGTCGGAGAAAGCATGCTAAGGCTGGGCTCCATGGACTTTGCCCCCACCCAAGAAGACAACCATTAAATTCAGAATTCTTATCCTGTTAGAACTGGATCTCACCTTTGGTAGATCTGTTTATAATAGTTTATATCAACTTTCTTCTAAGCAGCATAGAGGACCCCACATAATTCCTTCTCTGATGTACTCACAAGAAGGAAGATCAAATTGAGAAATGATGATTGGCCCACGGTTACTCCATGGCAGCAGATGTAGCTGAGTCTGGAGTGGAACTCCAAACTTCCCTCCTTCAGGCCCCAAAAGCTCCACCACTGGATCCCAGTTGCCCTAGGACAGCATCCCCCAACTTGGCACTCTTTGGGTATTCTGTGCTATGGTTTCCACCCATCCCAGCCAATACAGTGGTGCCTTGCTAGACAGATACCCCGCATGACAGTTTTTTCGCTAAACATTGACTTCTTGCGATTGCTATAACGATTCGCAAAACAGTGGTTCCTATGGGGGAATTTCACTGGACAATGTTTGGTCCCTGCTTCGCAAACCGATTTTCGCTAGATGACGATTTTGACAGCTCCCTCCGCGCTCGCAAAATGGGTATTTTCGGGACCTAAGCTTCGCAAGACAGCGATTTAAACAGATGATTGGCGGTTCGCAAAGCGGCTTTCCTATGGCTGATCTTCGCTAGACGATTCTTCCCCATTGGAACACATTAAACAGGTTTCGATGCATTCCAATAGGGAAATGCTTTTTGCTAGACAATGATTTCGCTAAACAGCGATTTCAGTGGAACGGATTATCATCGTCTAGCAAGGCACCACTGTATGAATAATGGTAAGGAATGACTGGACATGGCCCAAAAGATCTGGAGGGCATCATAGGGTTTACGAAAACCAAGCTGGGGAAGCCTCTTCCAGAGCATTCCCAAATGTAATCTAACACATGAGCCAGAAGATGCCAGGTATGATCTGTTGCAGCTCTCCTCGCTCTCAGCGCTTCTTTTCCAAAATGTTACAATCCCAAGATTTGCTACTAATTCATTACATCTGGCATTCTTTCTGCCACATAGATGAGGAAGGCTCCTGAAAGACATATGAGGTCTGAGCACATTCATCCCTTTCCTGTATTGTTTTGACCTAGTGGTCAATGAGAGGACACATGTCCAGCTGCCACTTACCAATCCCCTCTTGTTTCTCCGATTGTCCACAATCTGTAAGGATTGTATCTGTTAATCTCTCTATTTCTGTGAGACTTTTTCACTAGAATGAGCAATGGCCACATCTTTGGCCTTCATTGCAGTTATAGGTGCATTAATAAAAAAAAACCAATCATTTTATCGATAGCCACATTTTGGCCGTTAGCACTCTTGAGGCCATGCTGATTATGAATCAGTTGCAAGCCATTTTCTCTCACTAGTATCATTCTGGGACCTATTTTTAATCATCAAACTGCTTGTTAGAATGAAGACGTTCCAGGGTGTCAGCCATTTCAAGGCTCTCTAACACACAACATGCCTAGTTTTGTTAATAGAGCAAAATGGAGAGAAAGAAGTAACTAGGTTTACTAGACAGACAGTTTCTACAAGAAATACAGTAATTTCTTACCCAAAACAGTCAGTTTGGTGCCTGATCCAAAGTATATCTTTCCAGTGTTTGCACAGCCAGCTAGGTCATGAAATAAACCCCCTCAGCCTGCCCACAAAGGAATGCATAGTTTTCTTCTCTGTCTGAGGCAGTTAGAAAGCCACTCTGTCAAAGATGTCCCTCTCCGTTCCTGCTTCATAACTCACCCAATGCTGATAACACATAAAAAGGAATATGACTTTCTGTTAGAAGGCAGAAACGATTGTTTCTCCCCAACTGTCACAAGTGTTTAGTTACAGAACACACTTTATTGGAATCATCTGTTTCCTGCCAACATCCGTATCTCTCTTGGCCTTACAGTAATTCCTTAGGAATTAAGCTGCAAGCAAACTTGAGATGAGGTGAGGTTCTTTCGCCTGAATGTTTCCTGAGGATGGAACTTGCTATTGTGTGGCCATAGGATAAGTTCAAGTGTGTACATGCATGTGCACACGCATATCTGTCACTTATTCAATACATCAGCCACATTTTTCATAGCCATTTTGTAGAGAATTCTCATCCTGTCATGACACCTGGTACTTTACCATAAGATCAGAGCATACATCCAGGACCAGACTAAATGTGAAGCACCAGCTCTGTGAAATGAAGTCACTGCTGCTTCTGAAGGGCACGCCGTGCAGTTGGTGAAGTGGACTATGGTCCACAAAGCTTATAACCACATAGCTCATGTGTTAGTCTTTAAGGTGCTACAGGACTCTTGTTATTTTTTGCTGCGGCAAACTAAAAAGGGGTGATTGTGGATCTAAGTACATTCAGGGAAGAGGAACGTAGCTCTTTCTTTACTCTTATCACTTCTGGACCAAAATAATATCTATCCAACCCTGTTTGTCCTAGTCAGGCTCCATCACCAGAAGTAAACTCTGTTGGGTGAAAAGCTGACAGAAATGAGCTATTTTCATGGGGAAGCAAGGGGAAAGGCAGGGGCACTCTGCTCCCCTCCCATTGCTATAAAATGTTGTTAAAGCTTTGTCTGGGTTGTTCCTTCTATGGTGTCTTTTAAGAAGTAGATTGTAATCCATGAACGCTCACACTGAACTTAAATTGTTAGTCTAAAAGTTGTATCAGCCCTTTTGCTTTTGTTTGCACTGTTTGATAAGGAAAAGCTGAGGAGCAAAACGATGTACATCATGTGCACACATGTACAGACAGAATCATGACTCACAGAGAAAAAGCACAGACATTTTCACTGTATTGTATTTTCGAAGGCTTTCATGGCTGGGATCCAGTGGTTGTTGTAGGTTTTTCAGGCTGCTTGGCCGTGTTCTGGAAGTTTTTCTTCTTAACGTTTCGTCAGTCTCTGTGGCCAGCATCTTCAAAGGACAGGAGCTAGAACTCTGTGTTCTGGTGAACAGAGACTGGTGAAACATGAGGAAGAAAAATCTCCAGAACACGGCCAAACAGCCCAAAAACCCTACAACAACCATTTCACTGTATTCTTCGCCTGTCTACCTCAGCGGTGAAGTGGCTCATTGCTAGGCCAAACTAGAGAAGCTGCTCCCTTTTCAACAAGAAGATCACAAAATACCCCCCACCCCGACCTGCTTGAAAGACTAGTCTTTCAGGTTGCCACATCTGCACAATCACTTCATAAACAGAGCCTCATCCTTCTTTCATTTGAGGCAACTTAAATAAAAGCCCAAATTCCAAATGCTGTACTTTTGCCAAGACAACTATCAAAATTAAACAGTTTTAATTATGGTTGAAACAAGGTACCATGGATTTTTCTTACCAATTACTGTAAGACGCGTTCCTTTTCCAAAGTGAAGTTCAGAGTAGGAACACAGTGATAAAATCGCCACCTAAAAATGATGTTGGTTTCTTAAGATGATGCTTCTCCTGATGGCTCACTTCCCCCAGGAAACTAGATAGGCTCTATGCCAGAATCAACAAATGGCACCCTGTTGGCTAAATACCACCCTTCTTTAGAATCTCGCCTGTCCCACAACTGCCAGCTGAAAAGGAGGAGTAGGGGATAAGCATGGATGATGCAAACAGGACTTGCTGATAAGTTTACTTGCCACCAGCTCAAAATGTCCCTTTTACTGACCTTGACCATGATGAAATTATGCACTATTTACACCTGGCTCACTGCTCCAGGATTTTTAATGCTTGATTCACTTTGTACATGAAGGTGCCTCTTGCTGTCAGGTGAGATCCTGAAATAACAATGCCAATAACATCCCTATTTATTCTGTGCATTTGAGAGGTGAGTATAGTTTTTGCCTCTTGTTTATTCATGCACAACTGTAGCCTTTAGCCACAAACCCTGGCACATTCTCCTTTTAAAACACGACCAATCCCTTGTATAAACATCCTCAATTGTCATGGGTCCTATATGGCAGAATATGCCAGTAGAACGTGTCCCTTAAATAGCTACCAATAAGGAGAATAATCTTATGAAAACTTACCAAGCACTGTCAACCTGGTTCCTTGGCCAAAGTGCAATGGTGTGTTTGACACAGTGTCAAACGGGGGTACAAGAACAAATTTCCTAGAGTAGTTCTCTGGTTAAGTTGAGGTGATGTAGGAACCTACGGGTGAGTTATCCCACTCCACACAAAATAAACACACACACCAACTGCATTTTCAGACAACGATGGCACTTCTTATCTTCAGATTAAAAAGAGGGGAGCAAATCAGAGGTGTCCCATCACTTCAGTACTACCTCCAGAAGATTTCTCTCAATCCTGGTCTCGGATACCTCATTACTCAAACTCCCAATCTCCCTCTTTCTAAGAAAATTGTGGCAAACAGGGAGAAGATACCTGGCAAGCCTATCAAAGGCATTCCAGAGGGGGAGCTGTAGGAAATATGAAGATTGTTCTGCAGCACTTTAAAAATGAATAGATTTACTGTGGTATCAGAGTTTGTGGATGAGGGCTTACTTCATCAAATTCATGATGATTTTCAGCTGAAAGACAGGTATTGAGAAAGAAGGCCCAAAAGATAATGACAACACGTGGCAACAAGCCCGTGACTTTTTCTATTTCATGGCCTTTGGGCCCCACCAAGACTTCTCTGAAAATGTTCTTGTCCAAGGGATAAGCAGCAAAAAGTAGCCAATTCCTACAAAATGGGTATTTTAAGTACTGCTATCCTAAAAGCAATCAAATAACTCTGGCATACGAGAGAGAGAGAAATGCCTCTCCCACTTTCCTATATTGTAAAAGCAAAATAACAGCATTAAAGAATTAAGAATTGACCACACTTTCATCATACCTAAAGTTTACTACCTGAAATGGCTACCTCACTGTGCCTAATGAGAGGGTAGGCCCCAAGCACCACTCTTTACCAGCCTCCCTTCTTACTATAGATAGTAATTGTTGTGTTACTCATCTACAATAGTAAGTCAGGTTCCTTCTCCAAAATATTGGAATATTGTTGTAACACAGTACATACAAGTACTAATTATTTTGTATCATATATATCTACAGTCTACATAACATGTCTAATGAAATGAAATCTCACCCATGAAAGCAACAGAACTCAGTCGGTTTTTAAACATCGATTTGTTCAATCTATATTTTACATCGGATTTATATCTTATAAAGCAGAGGGCATAAGCCAGTTCAAAGAGTGTAATTTTTGGTCTTTTATGAGCTGGCAGGTTATGAGACAGAGTAGAACAATCATTTTGGATATCCCCAGGAGAAAGGGGATTTGTGTAATCTCAAGGCATGGGAGAAAAAAAGCACAGGAAATAATCCTTCAGTGGTGATTAAGGAACTGGGAGCTTGTTCTGACTGAAAAAGTATAAGCAACGTTGACAAATTAATTTTGGTCTTGTACCAGTTTAATTGCTTTGGCTTCCACAAACTAAAGCATCTTATTGTAGTTTGATGGGGGGTGATGATAACAATTCCTACTGACTCCACCCCACACAACAAAAGTACATTTATCAGGGGTCCCAAGGGAGGGAGAATGTGTATTAAATGTGTTTAGGTAACTGTTAAAATTTACTTACCTAGAACAGGTAAGCCGTGTTCCTTTTCCAAAATGCAGTATATTTGTTAACACATAATATCGTGGGCAGCTTATCCCATGCAGTGTTACAGAGAGCAATGTCCCCAAAATCCTCTTCCCTCAAAAAAAATTCATGGAGTGAGTAATATCCTTGTAAGAGGTCACAGAATGACAAAGAGGGGATCCATATGGCTGTTAATCATAGAAGGGCCACCTAGAGTGGGCAAATAGTCCAGATAGGCGGGGTATAAATAAACAAACAAACAAACAAACAAACGAATGAACGAACGAACAAACAAACAAACAAACAAACAAACAAACAAATAAATAAAAACATGATGGAATGTGGTTAACCTCACAATGGAATGATTGCCTCCATCCACTCTTGACAAGCAACCTAATGGGAGCGGTGATCCTGGTATCATTTTTCTGGTTGTATCCCTAACCAAAATGCAAACTTACTCCATCTCATCATGTGCTGAGAAATCCACTTAACAGAAGATCAGTCTAATTTGCTAGCAAGTCCTCTTTCTATACCAGTGCTCTTCAGCTGACCAGCCATCCATGGCATCCAAATAGATTTCACCTTGACAGCCTAATGTGGTTCTCAGAGGTGATGCGTTACCATTTCTGATTGAAGAAAAAAAAAGGGGTGGGGGGAAGAAGAGAGACAGAAAGAAGGAGAAGAATAGGCAGAATATAGAAGAGAAAAGGGAAGGAGGGAGAAAGAATGAGGGAAGCTCCAAAAATGTTTCATAAAGAAAAATAAATGAATAAAATATGCATCCGAATGTTAAAGATGACTCCTGGGTTGGCAGTAATGGAGGTTCACAGGTCTGGACAGGGTTCAAAGATCCTCTGCTGTGACATCTTGGTTTGATCCATATAGCTAAACAAGGGGTATGTTTTTGTAAAGGCAGCTGGGAGAGATGAATCATTGTGCCCCCACTGTCCCCACAATGATTTAGTCTCCTACAGAAATGGCTCCTCCCTGAGTTCCTCCAGCAGCACCAAATGAAAGTTTATCCAGACTTTCAGCCGAGTGGAGGCACAGCAGTGGTAGAACCGGTCGGAGGTATCAAAGACCCAGCAGCGAGTGCAGCGTTTCCTGAGGGGCTCCTCCAACCAGGAAGCCACAGTGGGGCACCTTTCCTCTCTCCCTCTGTCACTACTGGCTCAAAGGGATATCTATAGCTCAGAAGAGGCTGTAGGGGCCTGTGCTGGGAGAGAAAAATCTACCCATAATTAGAGAGACACCTACATACTTTTCTCTTGTGTGGGGGGGAGCATGTAAAGAGAAGTTACTACCAAGAAGAAGAAGAAAAATGAAACTTTTACCTATCAGTAAGGAGAGCATCAAGCTAACCCAGTATACAGTAGTTCACTCATCTCAACAACAAATGAATGAATGAATGAAGGAATGAATGAATGAATGAATGAATGAATGAATAATAGCCTGATAGAGTGGTTGAAAAGATTACTGACGTAACTTAGGTGAAGCATTTTGAATGCTCAAAGATACTATTCAATCGCTTTGGTCACGAAACACTCCAGCATGGACCTGCTCTGAATTGGCAGCCCTTCCAGATGATTACAATATGCAATTGCTGCCTTTCAAGAAACCTCTTATTATTTATTTTTATTTATTTATTTCATTTTTATCCCGCCTATCTGGTCATGTCAGGACCACTCTAGGCGGCTCTTTGAGATGATGTCACGGTTCCTAGCTTTCCAGTCAACTGATTCTCTCTGTTCATGGGGGAAGAGCTACATCTATGGGGCAAGTTCCTTTCTGGTTCATTGCCTTGGTTACAGGACCACTGGCAAGATCATTTACCATTAACTGACTCCAACAAGTCACCCCTGTTCTGAATGTTTTCAGCATAGACCACAGTCACACCAGCGAAACATTCCCCCTGTGGTGACACAACTTCAAATTGTGTTCCTGTCATGCTTTGAGGTCACGTGGCATTTATTCCAGGATATGCATCCAAATGTGTTTTGGGGTTATCAAGTCATTACTGTACTTTTCAATAAGGGCTTAGAGGTTCTTGTTGAGACTGTGACAGTGGTTAACCGACACATCAACACAAGAAACGCAGAAAACGTTAAATAGTGACAGAGGTTAACTGACACATCAACACAAACGCCACAGAAAACGTTAAATAGCAAAAACATTTTAAAAGGATGGTGACAGTAGTTTGAAAAAGTGGTCATAAGATCGTTCACATGTGTAGCAATACAATTAAAAAAAGATCCACAACAGAATAAGTAGAACTCTCTGGCTGAGCTATAAATGATCCATTGTTAGCATACTTGCAAGGTAAATGATTTGCTAATCACCATGCATCATGTGACCCACAAATTTAAACTGTGAGATTAAAAAGGGAGAACTGGAAAAGATTTAGTTGGTGTAACCATGCCCATAGTTAGATTTGAATTGTCTATATTGAGAGGACGACAACTCTGTCCCAACATTAATAGGATTCATTGAAGGGCTGGCCTGAAACGTTCTTGATCTGTCGGTTTCCTCATCGGCGTACTCCGTAGTGCAAATCATGCCACCACAGGGATGTCTGGCCCAATCTCCCTCCAGTGGTGGCTGGCTGAAAGAAGAGTCCGGCCAGATCAGCTTCTTCCAATAACCCTGTCCCCACAGATACACCACAACGGTCCATTCCAAAGAACCTATCAATGTCCCCTTTCCCGTAGACGCCTCTGGGTCTGGCAATAAACCCCCTACCTTTAGGTTAGAAAAATCTTCTAATAACCCTCTTGTTCTATCATACTCTTTTTCTTTCTCTTCTTCTCCTTCCCTTTCCTTCCTCCTCCTTCCTCCTGAATTCTCTCACCCCTCACGGTTCTCTTATATCCTCCTCCCATACAGGCCGAATTAGCTCCTCCTCTCCTTTTCTCTCTCCCTCCTCTACCAGACATATCTCGATTTGTTCTCTTTTCTCCTTTGATTCCGCTTCCTTCTCCTTTCCTACATTCAGTTCTTCATTCCCTAATATTCCCTTTGCCCCCATATCTTTCTCATGCTCGGACGTCTCTAATTGAGGGGACGGCTCACTCTGTTTTTCCTCCTTCTCTATTACAGTTCCTTCACACCCAGATAAGAAGCATTCAGTACTAATATCATTCCCAAAAACACACTTCTGCTGTAAAACAAGACACACCATTCCTGGGAGCCATGATCTTCAAGGAAACTGTAGTTTTGCATGCTGCCATGGGGACTGGACTGTCTGTATTCAGCAGTGGTGGTGTAGCAGTAGAAAGGCAGCCATCGAGAGTAGGAGTGTGTGCGTCCAAACTTGACCCACTTTTGTAATGGAACATGACAACCCATCCAAGAGGCCGAAGGGCTATGAGAGAAAATGCACATACTAGAAATATTTGGAATCCAACAATATGTATGAGTGTTTTTATGCTAATGCTTCAATCTGTTGTAAGCCGCCCAGAGACCTTTGGGTAGAGTGGGCGACATATAAGTTAAATCAGTCAATCAATCAATCAGTCAATCAGTCCATTAATCCATCAATCCTTCAAGCCAAATTGGAAGAAGTAGAGCTACCATGAATGATGGGATTAGCACATGATTAGAAGTGATGCCTTCTTAAGTGGTGAGAATGACATCTGTTTCTCCTAGCACATGTTTTTCTCATCTCGGTATCTTACAGCCCAATGACCATAGTTCTGTAATTGGTCTCTCTTTCTCAGGGTACCATCTCAGTTCTGAGCTTGGCTACCATCATGGCATACCTCCTCCTATCTTTTGTTCTGTGAGAGATGTTCTCTATTAAGAGCCAGCTAGTCTGTGATGTTACTTATCCAAGAATCCCATCTTCTACCTCTTCTGTGTTTACTCTTGATCTTCTATTCCATGGTGTATTGCAGTACATTATATTTGTCATGGCAAATTATATGTCCAAGATATGAGAGTTTGTGTTTCTTAATAATCAATTCTATTTCTTTTCGTTTTCCTCTCTGATGAAGTGTCTGTTTGTTCTTTAGTGCATCAGTCCATGGGATGTGAAGGATGTTCACTGGGCGGCACCCTTCTAGGCTAGAGGAAGTGTCCGTCTGTCCAGCATTGACCAATAAATTGTTTCAAATTCAAAGAAAGCCCCGCTTTCTCTCTGCTGAGAGTTTTTCCCCCAGAGTCTATTAATGGCTGTTAATGATGTTTGGTAGAAAAAAATATCTATTAAAGTATACTGAAGCAGAGTTGTTTAAAAGTAGTCATGGAAATTATTAGTTTGCTATTGATATATTCACAATACTAAGTAAACAGAACATTTTTATTCTGCACACTCTGTTTATCTTAGTGAATCATTGTGAATGTAAGTGCCAGTTAAGGGACAACAGAGGCCAAAAATTATCCTGGCTGGATTTCGAAGCTTCATAATTTGTAATTAAAGCAGTGTTCCAAGATGGAGGATGCAAATTGAAATCATTAACTTGATGTGGGGTGGTATTAGGTTTCACCTTTATAAACTAGTGTGGGGAATGTGTGGTCCTCAAAGGGCCCAAATGCAGCTGCTCAAGCAACATCGCCCCCACCTAAATTAAAAATATTTTGAAAAATATGCCACAAATCCCCCTCTAACTCTTTTAGGGGGACAGATCTGCTGTGTTTTGTGCTCTCTTGGGCCATCAACCTCTCAAAACTGCTTTATTTGAAAAAAAAAAGATGCTAGAAACTGCTGGGTGCTTTTGCAGCAAACTTTTCTCATGTTTCTAAGGAAAAAATGGGCATCATGGAACCGAGAAACACTGTCAAAATGGAACCCTGGCGTAGAGGTGAACACACTTCATTTGATAGGTTGGCTTGCTATAGAAAATACAGTCAACTGGTTTTGTCAGATGCACAGCCCCGCTTTCTTTTGGAAGAAGGTGAGAAGGAATGTGTCATGTACATTATTATAGCAAAAGTCACCATCCACTGTTGACTAGAACTTCTGCTGGTCCCACCTGGTCTTCCCGAGCCTTGTTCTTACAGATGCCTAGAGAGGCTCTGAAAGTGGCTGCCAGAAATCACGCCCTCTTGGTTGTGACCCCAGTTTTGTGGACCAGGTTCCCACTAGAGATCAGTCAGGGCCCTTCCTTGATTACCTTTAAAAGGATGTTGAAGACAGAGCTTTACAAGGAAACATTTGGAGATTATAACAGGATTTGGTTTTACTCTCTCTTTAGCATTCTTGCTAGTGTTTGAGGGTATTTCTTAGGTTTTTAATTTTATTAATTTTTAGTTTGATTATTGGTTTTGTTATTAGGATGTTTGGGACTGGGGAGAATGGGGTGGTTTAGAGTTATAGTTAACCGCCCGGAGTAGTGCATGTCTCTAAGTCAAGTAGAATTCAAAGGTATGAAATAAATAAACAAGCTAGCTGGAACTAGTGATGCCACCAATCCACTTCCTCTCATTTTCACAAAATTTTACACTCTGTTGACTGGGACTTTTTAAAAACATGGGCATATGTGGAGGAAGTATGAACAGTGTAACTTTTAATGAACACGAGGTGTTGATTTAAGTATGCCTGTTTGGGGTTATGGACAATGTACATTTAGATTAAGGTATATACGATATATATATTTAAAATCAGACAATTCCCCCAAAATGCAGGAAAGAGGTTCCAGGCCTAGTGTGAATCAGTGTTTGATTTATATCCTGTCAACTGAACTGTGAAGGGAAAACTCATCGCTGTAAAATGGTGTTATATAGAGACGAAAAGATATACACTAGCCAAAATCGTCAACTGAACTGTGAAGGGAAAACTCATCACTGTAAAATGGTGTTATATAGAGATGAAAAGATATACACTAGCCAAAATCCACGAGTAGGCCCATTGAATCAGCAGAACTTACAATCATTGACTCACTAAATCCACATTGATTTAATGGGCCTAAGTTGCAGCATATTACTGGATTTTAGCTACTTAGTCCTGCTTTTTCACATACAGTATGTTCAGAATTTTGTTTTGCTTTTTTCCCCTTCAGAAAAAAAAAATTCTAATGCTTCCAGCAGAGGGCAACCTCCAACTGTAATAGACCTAAACCAGAAGGCAAAATGTTTGAATGTTTTGGAACACAGTTCGGTGCTTCAAATTAAACCTGTCCATGAACAAACAGGATGCATGGATATTTTGATTTTTAAAAAGTGACTTCTTTCTGCACTTGACACTTTAGAGAGGCTGGGGCAAGATGGCTCCATTCCAAGATTACATTGCATTAGAACACAACACTTGGTGCTGAAAGGAAATAAAACGTTGTGAAATTTGATTTTTGCACTGCAGTGGGATCATGTTGTTCCGGATACATCATGAGGATTTTCCCCCCTCTTTTGGGGTACATTCAAGATTCCCTTGGAAAAAAATGCTGTTTGAATAGAATGTTTAAATGCTTAAGAAATACGTGGAAGTAAATCATGAGAAAAGTAACATAATTGAAGGCTGCCGCATAGATGTGTTGTACTGTCTGCACAGCTGAAATATTATTACAAGGGGGGGAAAAACCACAAATGAGGATATTTTGGTAATATAGATCTACGTATTTCCTTGATACTCTTTATTAAGATGAATTACACAGGAAGCAAAGAGAAGATTTGGGTTGAATCAAGCAGCATTAGCAGCAATGGTCTCCTCGATCCAGTCAATATAGTTGCACACCTTGGTGTAGACTCCAGGGTAACCAGCCAGAGCGCATCCCATTCCCCACGAAACAACACCTTGGAGCTCCCCGCCACATACCACTGGGCCGCCAGAATCTCCCTGTAAGATAAAAAGGAATAAAGCATGTTTCACACAGGTTCCCACTCAACTCTGCTTTGGCTTCGCCTCCTGTCCTCTCTCTTGCTTCCTGCATTTACTATGAACAAATCATGCTGCTTGGCAAAATCTAGCCGAAACTCATTATTTTCCCTCACCGCTCAGTGGACCTTGTAATGTATCTCCTCAAACCTATATTGTTTCCATCCCATGTGTTTATTGCACACACTCTTTTTTCTCCCTTCTCTTTAAATCTATGACTAATAAACTATCTTCTTCTTTCTTCTAACCTTCTCCTAGATCCATCCCTTCAGTCCTTCAACTCTATAGCAGAGAGGAATCTAGAGATTTCTTTCCAGTGGTCTTTCAAGGTAAAGGTAAAGGTTCCCCCTGACATTTAGTCCAGTTGTGTCCGACTCTAGGGGGCGGTGCTCATCCCCGTCTCCAAGCTGTAGAGCCAGTGTTTGTCCGTAGACGGTTTCTGTGGTCACGTGGCCAGCACAACTAGACACGGAACGCCGTTACCTTCCCACCAAGGTGGTACCTATTTATCTAGTCGCATTTTATATGCTTTTGAACTGCTAGGTTGGCAGGAGCTGGGACAAGCGACAGGAGCTCCCTCTGTCGCGTGGATTTGATCTTACGACTGCTGGTCTTCTGACCTTGCAGCACAGAGGCTTCTGCGGTTTAACCCGCACCACCACCACGTCCAGGTCTCTCAAGCCAAGGCCAAATATGAACTCGGAGAGCTTATAAAACCCTGCCTTTCTGAGAGAGGCTGCCATAGGCAGAGGTTATTTCAAGAATTAGGATAATCAGAGGAGGCCTTTTTCACAGGTACATTTGTTGGGACACAGGAAAAGGCCTTCTCTGTTGCTGCTCCCAGGCTTTGGAACTCCCTCCCACAGGAGGCCAGGCTGGCCTCACGTTTGCTGTCCCTTCTGAAAGCAGGCAACAACCTTTTTCTTCAGGCAAGCTTTCCCTTAGTGATTGCCTGCCTGAGTAGGATTTTTAAATAGATTGTTGTGCCTTTCTACTTTGAATGTATTTTTGGTGTTGTTTTTGTTTATCATGTTGTAAAGTGTTTTTGTATATTTACTGTTTTTAGCTTTAAATATTGTCTTCTAATGATGTAAACCACATTGGGTCTTTTTAAAGGAGAAAGGTGGGGTAAAGATATTTTAAATAACAAATAAATAAATTTCAGTGAAGCTCAAAAAAGGATTTACAGCATCTCCTACCATCCTTTTGTTTGCACACGCCAAAAGACCTGACATCCCCTGATTTATTTGTTTTTAAATTTACAAAATATTTGATTAAGAATTATACATGTCAGTCTCTTCCCCAGTTTCTCCACTAAGCTGGGGAAGAATAAGAATAATATTATTTATTTTATTCATTTATTTATAATACTTTTCTCCTGCTTTTCTCCTTTAAAAGGACCCAGGGTGGCTTACCTCATGAAAAAGGCAATATTTAAAAGCTTAGACAGTAAGTATACAAATATTTAAAAAGAACTAAACAAGTATGATATTAAAAATGGTAAATAAAATCAATACTAAAACACATTTAAAACAACAGAACACAGCAGTCTATTTTTTTTTTTTTTAAAAAAAAAAACACCTTCTCAAACCACCAGTCATTAAGGAAAAGCCTGCCTGAAGAGAAAGGTCTTTCCATGCTTGTGGAATAAAAATATGTGCACATCAGACGTGTATTTTAGAAATGAAGTTTTCTCTTGCACTCTGGGGTACTTTCCCTCATTTTGTGCTTTTTAGGCCAAACTAGAAGAATGGTGGCAGAGTCGGTTAAATTTACAGCCAGTTCTCATGGCAAAATTGTCAACAAGCAACAAATAACCTGGCAATGTAACAGTGTGGAAGGACACACCCTGTAGCCTGGTTGTTTCAAGTTCACCAGGAGAATTTAATCTGTCAGTAAGTTGGAAGTGGATCCAGCTGCTGACTTTATCTTCAAAGGTAACTTGCAGTTTGACCATTAGCATGTATCTCTACTGCCACCATAGAAAAAAGGTGGAGGACCCAGAGTCAGCACAAAGCATGCAAAACAAAGGGATCCAGCAGCATACCCATTCAGGACCTGCATTTGAGTGCCTTAATAATCAGTGACTGTTTTCAAATAAACCTCAGCAGTTAATTTTCACTATTCATTTCTCATCAATAGGGCCAGTGTGTGGTGTAGTGGATAGAATGTCAAATGAAGATTATGGAAGCCTGGGTTCGATTCTCTGATTGCTCATGGAAACTTCCTAAGGGGTGGCAATGACAAACTACTCTTTGAACATCTCACATACAGAGGAAACCCTGCTTGGCGCAAGTCAGAAGACACTTAGTAGCACACAACAGCAACACTTGTCAAGTTGGCTCACCTGGCAGGAGTCTTGGCCACCCTCTAAGTATCCAACACAGATCATATTGTCAGTGATTTGTCCTGGATAAGCGTCTTTGCATTCTTGTTCACTCAGGATTGGAGCATTCAGGCACTGCAGAAGATCGGGGTAATTTACTGGAAGGAAAGACACACACAGAGAAGGAACGTAACCAAGAAGTTTGTAAGGTTAAGCAACAATGATGTCTAGTAATGCAGGTGCAAGCACTAGTTGGCTGTATGGGCATATATTGTATATATGATATCAAGGTCCCACTGTGCAAGTCATAGGGGTCATTTCCCACAATGAGTAGGAAGCTTGTCTTTTAATCCACAGGTGATTTACCAAACCTTGCCTATTGCTGAAGTCCCCCAGACAAAGCATGGATAGGATTCATGAAAGATTTAAATTGTGTCCATATTCATCAGGATGCAGTGGGGTGAAGTGGTTAAAGTGTTGTGAAAAGGCTGATCAGGGTTCAAGTTACCAATGAAACTAATTCAGGTTATCCTACACCAGCACTAACCTCTCAGGTTAACACATCTTGCCAGGAGAACATGGGGAAAGAAAAGAACACCATGTAGGCTCCCTTGAAATCACTGTAGGAAAGGCCAAAGTTTGTAAACTAATTATTGAGCACCACAGTACAGAGTGCTGTCCTCTGAAGATGCCGGCCACAGAGACTGGTGAAAAGTTAGGAAGAACAACGTTCAGAACACGGCCAAAGAGCCCGAAAAACCCACAACAACCATTGGATCCCGGCCGTAAAAGCCTTCACAAATACATTAATTATTGATAAATACCTACTCATTTAAAAAAAAAACACACAACTTTCTTAGTCAAGATATAAACATAACTTTAAAATGATTTCTTAATGATAATAATTGATATAATTTTAAAGTGATTAATTAACTTGGGCTTAGAATAGATGGCAGAACTCTTGAATAATTTACATAACTCCCAAGAGAGCAAAGTCTGTACATATTCAGCTAATGTAGGATAACAGCAGCATAAAGATGCCCTCAAGTTACATGCTCTGGAGAGCTAGGTTGGAGCCGTAAAACGATGGTTAATCAAATCTTACTCCTACTCACCACCATTGCTGAGTGTGTTGCCCCATCCTGAGATCAGGCAGTCAGTCCCAGCAGGCGCACAACCGGAACTCAAGGCAACGGGTGCGATCTGTGCAGAAAGTTCAGCTGGGGTTTCCAGTCTAATGAGCATAATGTCATTATCCAAGAGCCAAGAATTGTATTTCGGATGGCGGATGATTTTGTCAGAATTGATGAACTGTTCTCCCCCTTCCTGCAGCTCAATGTTGTGCTCTCCGAGTCTCACTTGGATGCGACTGCAAAAATCAACCAAGCAATGGGTGTGTGAAGCTGTGTCTGAACTCAAGCTGAATGAGGTTTGGAGGCCTCATGCCCCTGGAGCAATGTAACCAACAATCAGCCAGCCAATCAGCCACACAAGCGAATAGCCAGGCAACATCACATCTAATACTAATACCAATACCAATACTAACACTAATACTAACTAATACCAATACTAATACTAATACTAATAAACAACAACAAACAACAAACAAACAATGACGACGATGACGACAATGATGATAATGATGTGCTGTCAAGGCAGTTCTAACTTATAACACCCATTTGAGGTTCCTAAGCAAAGAAAAGTCAGAGGTTTGCCATAGAAGGCCAGTGGGGAACTGAACCCCCAAACCTTGGCCATGCAGCCAGGTGCTCCAACTCACTGAGCTACCCAGACAGCTTCACCAATTGAAGTGGGAACTTTGTCACTACTCCAGACAATAGCATCCATCTCCTCAATTCTTTCAAAAAAGAGCCTCATGTAGCAGTGGTTAAGCTGTACTGCAACAAAACTGTGTTCACGACCCAGGGTTCAATCCCAGGTAGCCAGCTCGAGGTTCACTCAGCCTTCTATCCTTCCGAGGTCAGCAAAATGAGTACCCAGCTCATGGGGGGGGGGCAATGTGTAGCCTGCATAATTGACTTGTAAACTGCCTAGAGAGTGCTTGAAGCACTATGGGGTGGTATATAAGCAGCACGCTTTGCCTTGCTTTTTTGTTACTGGTGCCTGTCTTGTCACAAGAAGGGTTTTCCCATCTACACACTGCTTTTAGGATTGACCATGTGTTATGACATTTTGTATATCCTCACATCCCATTTTTCCTTCCCCCCTTTTCCTCTTTTTTTCTTATCTGCCACTCCCCCCCTTTCTTTAGGTTTGGAAAAAAATTCAAAAGGAAAAGCACTTCCTCTTCTCACACAAATAAAGAACAATTCAGGAAAATATAAATAAATTCAAACTGAGAAGCTTGAAAAGGAGAGATGCCTTCTGAGGTTCTATGTCCAGGCCTGAGTCCACTTTAATCACAGAGGAACACAACAGTGCACGACAAAACCCATGCTTTTTGGTCCTAGGTTGGATGCTTGAGGTATACATAAAATGAATGTGACCTTTTGTCTTTCCATGACCAACAAAGAACTTTCTGCATGTTACAATTCAGGAAGACATGTATACCCTGGCATGGCACTGATCTACGGAACTGTGAAGTGGCTTATGACTTTCAAAACTTCACAGAAAATTATCTGGGAGCGTCTTTCTGAATGGGTTTGGAGTAAGGACTAAAACCAGCAAGTGTGTACTTACAATGTATAAAGAACTGTGGTTCTAAAATTTTCCTTCATGGATACTATAATCTGGCAGAGACTTTTTTTATATAAATGCCTGAAGGGATGTCCTATGTGTGTGGTTTTTTTAAAACCTTGTCTGCCAAGCTGTTATTTACTTATACAATTTATATGCCACACCGCTCTTCATAATATTCATCCCACCATAATTTGGTGGATAAAATCCCACTGCTTTACAAGATTGCTAAGGAGAACTTCACAAGCAACTCTAGCTATCTGCTTAATTGCCTTATGGTGCAGGGGTTTTATTTGGAGGGGGGGTTAGTGAGAGTTCATGGTTTGTGGGAGCCATTGTCATGAGATTGAAGGAGAATGGGACTTGTAGTCAGAGATTAAAGGAAGATGGGAGTTGTAGGCAATGAGAAAGAGAGAAAATGGAGTCTGTTAGGTTTTTAAAACGGGAGTTGTAGGCAATGAGAAAGAGAGAAAATGGAGTCTGTTAGGTTTTAAAACTGAAAGGAAAACATGGGAATTTGAGAAAGGCAGAGAGATTGTTTTTCTTAATTTACAGCCAGCCTGGTACAGGGTGGATCCTGATAAGCAGACAAGGACAGGAAGTGCAGAGAGTCAGCCTGGTACAGGGTGGTTCCTAATTGGAATGGAGATAAACCACCTGCATCTTCATGAGAATTATGAGTGGAATGGACAGTTACACCTCTTTGAGTTGATTGGTTTATGGTCAAGAAGAAGGAGGTCTGAGTAATGTAGAAAATGGACGATGGGTTATGTGGGAGAGATTCTGAGTCTTGTGAACTTCTTGTGGAGTTCTTGTTCTATTCGAAATCCAAGATGATGGATTGATGGTTTGAGTATGTAGCTTGAAGGAGAAAGAATGTAAGGAAAGGAAAGAGGGAGGTGGGGCTAGCCCACTTTAGCCCAGTCTAGTGTTTGTTATTTTTTATGGGAATTAGTTGTTGTATTTAACTGTGTATTCTCTTGAACATGTTCTGTATGCTGTGCTTGAGCAAAACAAAACTTTCTGTGAAACTATATATTTTCTTGATAAAAAAATAATCATAAAAGTCTTCAAGGGTGGTGTCTCGTATTAGCAGGGTTTCGCTAAATCCAGAGGAGTGGTAATGGCAATGAATAGCTACCAGAGAAGTCCTAATTAATTGAGCAGTTGTGAGTTCTAAGAAACTACAAAGCCAGGAGTGGTAATGGCAATGAATAGCTACCAGATAAGTCCTAATTAATTGAGCTGTTGTGAGTTCTAAGGAACTACAAAGCCAATTTGTCTGTATTTGCAAAGTACTGGGTAAAAGTAAAGTGCTCTTTTAAGGTCAGACTTATTTTAGGCGCAAAGGCTACATACTGCTGGAGGTTGAGGACTTGCCCCAGTGTAAAGGTTTGTGGCTGAGGAATTCCCTGACCGAAGGATCCATGCTCCTTAGAGAGATTCGGTCCAGACAGCCATGAACCACAAACCATCACGAAGCACTGGTTTCCCAGTTCGTGACCATCTCTAGAACTGACCTTGTGGGATTAGATTCATTGGCTTTTACACTTTATCCCCTTCAGACATTCTGCTAGAATTGAAGATTTGGGGAGTGGGGCCAGCCAAAAGGAAGACAGTGAGGGGGGGTGCTCCCATTTTCTCCTCCAAGGGCACAATATATGTATATCTAGAGAAGAAATAAGTGAATGGAACTGCTATTTTCCATTCATTTCTTCCAGTGCTCTGTCATTTTTTATTTAGTGGGCTTTGCTGGTTTATGAAACACCTGGAAAACCATACAAAGTTAAGAAAAAACAACAGAAAAATTAGACACAGCTTGCACAATAAATATGAGGCTTTACTGAGTGTGCTGGATTACACAATAACCCAAAGCTATCCAAATCCATTCTTACTCTCCCTAAAATTTTAGTTTGTTGAATTAGAGCTTACCTACCAATTAGTATAACAGGGGGAAAAACAGATATAGGAATAGATGTAAAGGATCGTTCACTTACGATTTATAACAATGAGCAGCTGAAACCACCCAGCGGTCGTTGATGAGCGAGCCCCCGCAGAAGTGGTACCCAGAATTCAGTGAAGCCTGGTAGGGCACAGAGTTTCGCTGGCAGGTGTATCCTCCCACTATCTTATCATCATCATCACCACCTGAGGGGAAAGCAGCTGGAAGAAACATAGGAGTAAAATTAATAAAAATTACAAAGTTGCCTTCAAAAACGAAGTCCAAAGAGGTACAATTTCTTACTCATAATGTGGTATGACTTTGAGGCCACTTTGACAGTGGGAGTGGGAAGTGGTCACTTCCAGAACCTTCTGTTTTTCAGCCTACATAGAATCATTCCTAAGGAACATGTAACTTAAGGAGCGGTTTCCATTATGAAATAAATTGGGTGATGGATCAGGGTTTTAAAAAGTTGGTTTAAAATTACGTGATAATCATGCAGGTTTTAAGTATATTTGTGCATCCTCTTAGGAAAACTTTTAATCTGGTTTTAATTTGTGTTGCATATCAGTCAAGGGAGCTGTACAGGTTTTCAGAATTGTTACATTTGAGGTTTTGTCCGCCTCTCACAGCCAGTTGCTGCTGTGGTGTTATTTTTACTTTTTAATTTCTTGCAATCTGATATAGCACTAGAACAGAATGACAGGTAGAAAAAAAATTAAAACAGAGGTTACCTGACAGTCCAATACATGCACATGTAGACAGACAGACAGATGACAGTCAGACAGACATATACTTATAAACACAGGGGGTGGATAAGGAGAGGAACATCTAGCAAGGGTTGAAACTGACTAGAGATATTTTGGCTAGATCTGCAATCCTAGGCCTGCCAAGAGACAGACAGAGTGCAGGGGCTGAAATTGACCAGTGACATGACTAGGCTTGCATGCATGCTTGTGTTTGTGAATGTGTGCACACAAACTTACACAAGGGGTGGAGAAGGAGAGGGAGTATGGAAGGCACACTAGTGAGTGGCAATCTCCACAGACACAATTTACTCCAAAAGTGGCTGAAATGATTCCAAATATATCAATTTGACATCCAAATTAAAATAATCCTCTGGTGGGAGAGTAAAATATCTTGCTTGTGATCAAAATTACTCACTTCCCTGTCAAAACAATCTGTGTTTCCATGTGTGTCATGTAGTCACCTTCTTAAGAATTTATTTCAAACAAACTAAATCTGATTCAAATACTCCCCCCACAGTGTACAGTAATTGCATTCTTCCTGGTCCTTAGGAATGGGAGAATCTGGTTTTTGTTTTTTGTTTTTTTTACTATGTGGCACTTTACAAGCATGTGCATAGAAGATGCCAGCTCTGTTTTGTTTTATATTAATCAACAATTTTATTTAAAAAATCACCTAAGCACTGACATTTAATTACAAAGTGTATATTCTTTTTGTTGAAACTTTTGCAACCTCACATGTAGTCTGTAGTTTGTTTGGCTGGATGGAAACCTTTTAGGCTGGTGTGGGGGAAGTGTCAATCTATCCAGCAATAGCCAATAGTCCCCTCAGCATCTGAATTGAAAGAGTCCTGTCTCTCTGCTCAGTGCTTCTTTTCCCTCTCTAAAGTCTATTGAATCTACTGTTGAAAGCAGTCAGGTTTGTAAGTTTGCTGTTGATCTGTTCACAACTATAAGTTAAGAAAAAATTTTTTTATTCTTTTTCCTAGTATTGTCTCAATGTGAGTTATTGAGACTGTCAATACCAGTTAATGAGAAAAAGGGTAGCATCTTTTGAGGAATCTCAGTGCTTCTTTTCCCTCTCTAAAGTCTATTGAATCTACTGTTGAAAGCAGTCAGGTTTGTAAGTTTGCTGTTGATCTGTTCACAACTATAAGTTAAGAAAAAATTTTTTTATTCTTTTTCCTAGTATTGTCTCAATGTGAGTTATTGAGACTGTCAATACCAGTTAATGAGAAAAGGGGTAGCATCTTTTGAGGAACTTGAAGCTATTTTGCTCTGTGGATCCCTACACTTCTAGAGAAATTTAATCAAAATTCTGCAACACCTTTCTCTCTCAAAATACACAGTGTAAATATATATTCAGCAACTTTTTTTAGGTGAGAGTTGTGACCACAAGTGGGACGTGGTAGTGATGCAGGTTAAACCGCAGAAGCCTTTGTGCTGCCAAGTCAGAAGACCAGCCATCATAAGATTGAATCCACACAATGAAATGAGCTCCTGTCGCTTGTCCCAGCTCCTGCCAACCTAGCAGTTCGAAAGCATGTAAAAATGCAAGTAGATAAATAGGCACCACTATGGTGGGAAGGTAATGGCGTTCCATGTCTAGTCACGCTGGCCACATGACTACAGAAACTGTCTACGGACAAACGCTGGCTCTATGGCTTGGAGACGGGGATGAGCACTACACCCTAGAGTCGGATACAACTGGACTAAATATCAAGGGGAACCTTTACCTTTACCTATGACCACAAAGAGGTCAGAGATATTTCTTCTACACTCAGTAGATGAAAGTAAAATTCCACAAAAATTGAGATTCTTTCTGAGATTAAAGATCCAAAAATGTAGACAAAGACTAGTCATTGAGTTGAATAATGTGGAATCTAAAGATGCTATAGTGGATCCAGCTATTGCAGAAGTGAGGCAATCATTTCTGAATGTTTCTCCGTGTAAAAGGGAAAAAAAAACTCCCAGCAGTTTTAAGAGAAATAGCACATCAAGGAGAAATTAACTATTCCCACTTGTTCCCTGCTGTCCTAGATTTCCATTTACAAAATGTTTTGAACACAAGGAATCATTACAAAAATATGACCCCCCCTTTCCAAATACAATCTGAAAATGATATTTCTCATACGTCAAGACCTTTACACTTTGTTCACCTTGTTCTGCTACCTGTGTACATCAGACCAAAGCCATTGAGAAAAAAAAATCTTACCTGCTGCTCCCAGGAAAGCAAAGATCAAGAGGAATTTCATGGTGCTACCGGTAGTTTTTTGCAAATTGGAATAGGATCTTCTGAGGAAATCCTTCCAAATTTATACCTTGCTTGGGATCTTATCTCTTCAGCCCAAGGTCCCTCCAGCTTCATGCTTCTCAGGATCTTGCGTAAGTCCTCTTAGAATACACAAGGTGATAACATGATTCCAGCTATCATGAATCTCAAGCAAAACATTTATCAGAATGGGAAAAATAAACAGATTATTGTGAACCAGGACTGAGCTCAGTGAATTAGGAAAAAGTTAAGCAAAAGATGTAACTTTTTGTGGCAAATTGGCATAAGATAAGGAATCTCATGGAACCAGTCATGTATACAGTGGTGCCTTGCTTAATGATGATAATCTGTTCCAGGAAAATTGCCGTTAAGCGAAAACATCGTAAAGCGAAAATAAAAAGCCCATTGAAACACATTGAAAACCTTTCAATGCGTTCCAATGGGTTTAAAACTCACAGTCCAGTGAAGATCATCCATAGGGTGGCCATTTTCCCTGCCTATACAGCGAGGAATCCGTCCCTAAACACAGCAGGGAGCCATTTTATTTTCCCGGTGGCCATTTTGAAACCGCCAATCAGCTGTGGAAAAATAATCGTTTTGCGAAGAATTGGTTCCCGAAGCAGGGAACCGATCATCGCGAAGGGAATTTTCCCCATTCAGACCATCGTTGTTAAGCGTATTTGTCGTAATGCGGGGCAATTGTAAAGCGGGGCACCACTGTATTCAGGTTTCTTAACCTACAGCAATTTGCCTCTAAAAATTACAACCACTGTTTAAGGATGCATTTGGACAATAAAATTTTTCAAGTTTTAAGCCATTCTCCATCCTGAGGCTTAAAAATGAGAAGAAATGGAAAGTGAAGAAAAAACTAACAGGAAACACAATAGGTAATGCAGCAAACTACGTCTTGCATTGCTACAAGTAATTGTAGCTAATTACTTTTTAAACATTATAATAGGTGCTGGGAATGAATTATTTGTAACAAGTAATTTACCTGGCTCTGGTGAACCCTTTCAAGTGCTCCCATCTCTTCTGTTTTATATGGGTTAACCCACAACTAGCCATTTTGAGCACAGCATTGGAAAGCCTTCCTGAAATCTACGATGTGGGATGATATGACCAATAAATGTCAACCAGGCTTGTTCTCAGCTTGGGCTAGACTGTGCAAATAAATCCTAAATTCAATTGCTAATCCCATCTAGAGTAAACTGATTTAAATCAGTTTTTGAAGGATACATCAACATTGATGCAAATGCCATTGGTTCTTCTGATTAATAATAACTTTTATTGTCAATGCACAACATGTGTGCAGTGAAATTGAATGAGCCTCCATTGGTACAACCACACAAAGCACAAAAAACACAGAGTACATTCAGACACAGAATGCATTCCCCCATAATCCTACTTTGGGCTAGCAGTAGGATTTAGGGTACAGTGTTCATTTTTCCCACTCTCTTCCAAAAGGTATCAAATGGCCCGTACTCTTTAGTGAGGGGTGAATGGTTCCATATCAGTCAGGCCAAGCTCTGCACCAAATAATTGACTGGATCCTGACATGATAAAAACTTCCATTGAACACTAATTTATCTCTACTATATACACAACTCCGAAATGAAAACTCTTGACTATTGCCAGTTACAGATTTTTGTTTCCCACAGTCAATTCTTGACAGAGCAGCTGATTTTGGCATTTGGAAACATGGAGGATAAATTGCTTCTTCAGAGAAATCCATTTGTTGAAGGAGTGCTCCCTCAAGTGGTGAAAAAGCAATCTTTGTAGAAATAATATCAAGAAGAGAAGCACATAATAATGTTATTTCAGAAATGTGAACAATAATTTTCCTGGCATCTCTAAGCTTCCAGTTACACATTACAAAGGAGATCATGTTGCTGGGCAGAAAATGCTGTAAGAGCAGGCAATATATGTTACTGTGAACTTGTGCCTGAGCCCTGCAATTTCTAGGATAACATGTGCCAGAGAAGGTCATATAAATGCTTGCCACCTTATTTCTTTTGACCTTACCCTTCTCATGTAGCAGCTTGACACGCAGACAGAATCCTGTTTTCATCAACCTTTCCAGCCTGAGCAATTCCAGGTATTTCCATGTGTGTGTTTAAAGTAAGGTTTTCTCCAACTCATGCAAGGAAAGCTTCAGTGCATTCATTTTAAAGTGAAGTGAAAACGAATTAAATGGGCTCTATTTGGTTACATTTTTCATTTATTTTAAAATGGATACGAGACCCTCCCCCCATGAATGTATAATGCTCACAACCCAATGAATGATAAAAGTGTTTGTTTTATTTACTTTGTGGGGGACACAGATCTTCTTGAAGAATGCAAGAAATGTGAGCATATTCAGGGCTTCCCTGGGAATCAACAGTGCCCCCCCCCCGGTGATCCTTCTACTCTAGAAGCACTATTGGCTGAAGAATTCACTCTGTATGGGGAACAAAACTATGATGATGATGATGATGATGATGATGCCGCATTTCTCCCAACAAGGGACCCAAAGCGTCTCACAACATTAAAATTCACCCAATTTAAAAAGACAATGTTAAATATTAAAAGATAAATTAAACAATGTATGATTTAAAATACAATTAAAAGATGAAAACATGAAAACATAAAAATATCAAAATATCAAAGTCTCTGCTGAAATGGGGTTCAGGTATTCAGTTGTAATTGTTAAAAGCCTGCCTGAAAAGGTGAATCCTCAGCTGTCAACAGAAGGGTAACAGGGAAGGGCCCATCCTGTTCTCCTGAGGGAGAGCGTTCCATAGCCTGGGAGCTGCCACAGAGAAGGCCCTCTCCCGTCTCCTCATCAGCTGTGCTTGTGCTGGCAATGGGACCGAGAGGAGGGTCTCCTCTGCTGATCTTAATTGTTGAGAAGGCGCATATAGGGAGATACAGCCCTTCAGGTAGCCTGGACCCAAGTTGTATAGGGCTTCATAGGTAATGACCCGCACTTTGAATTGGGCCCAGAAACTGGACTGGTAGCTGTTACATACAGCACTGATGTTACCTGTCTGTCATGGGTTTGGAGGGAAAGTTCCATCCTATGGGGAGTGGAAGGCGGGACATCAGGAGGAGGGGCTGTACTGTATATATATGTGGAGTTTGTGTGGAGAAGTTAGGAGAAGCTGGAGAAGAGCTGAGAGAAGAAGCTTGAGTGGGAGTCTGTGTGTCAGACAGGGTACTACTGTGTGTCAGTCAGTACCAACCTGATAGGTTCAGGTGTCTGTATGGTTAGCCAGAACTGATAGGTTCAGGGTCTGTGCTTCAAGTTAAGTGTTCTGTGTGAACCAAACTGTGTGTATGTATGATTGAGACTAAGCCACGTTACTGTATCTTATTCACTTGATCCTTTTATTTTTCCCTGTGTGTTATTTAATAAACCTTGTTCTGTTATTTGTTAAAAATCCATCCCTGGTCTGTGTGACTTCTTATAGGGAATGGTTGGTGGCAGCTTAGTGAAACTGTGGCATATCCCAGTAGGTCTGGGTTTGTCACATTGATTGGTGTCCAGCGTGTGGGATACGACTGGTCCAGTTGTCCAGTGGTCCAGCAAAGCCTTGGCAAGTGTGCCCAGAGCAAGGGGGGTCTAGTCAGGGACAATCTGAGAGCGCGTAGGTAATCTTCTAGGCTTACCTCACGGGGAGGTACGCTAGTGGAAGAACGTGTAACCTCAGATTGGTGGGACTAGATTAGGGAGCTCTGAGGCAACCCGTTTTGGCGGGAAAG